ATCATCATCATCATCATCATCATCATCAGCATCATCATCAGCACCATCATCGTCGTCGGTGCCGTCCTCACAATCATCACTCGCCCACCCGAGTCATGGATCTGCACGAGCAGATTGCGCGCGTCACTGAACCTGTCGAGTGTTGCAGGCAAGCCAAAATAAGTGACTGTACTCACGACCTTATGAGTTGTGCCAAAATGTTGCGGTTGAGAAAGTGGGATGGTTGCTCAAGCATGGGGGGTGGTCAAGCGCGGATGCAGATAGTCGATTGCATCCAGTAGGTTTACACAGCTTGCAGCACACAGCTTTCCCCACGTAGCTTGGGTCACATAGCTAACATCACAAAGCTTGTACCAATGGCTTGCATCACCTAGCTTCTGCCACGCAGCAAGCACCACATATATTGCACCATATACCTTGCAGCACGCTCCTTCTCCCACATAGCTTGCACCACACAATCTGCAAACCATAGCTTGCACCACAAAGTGGATGATGCGTAGCATGCGCAACAAATATTACAGCACATAGCTTGCACCACGTAGCTTTCACCACGTAACTTCCACCACAGAACTTACACCACGCGGCTTCCAACACACAGCTTGCAAAACATGCATTGCATTACATAGGCCACACCATATATTCCCACATGCCCTTTAGGTCGTAGCTTGTCCACGCACTTCCTTTCCAATCCTCAATAGTCTACTCCGAAAAGGGTGCGATCACTGTTTCTTAGTCACATACACCCCATCCCCAATCTGACCGGGGACGAACCCGTAGCCACTACAATACCCCCTCACCTTCCTTGCCAAAAGAAAATGCAAAATGCACGTTGCGGTAGAATCCGCCGCACTTCGGCCTGTGTGAGACGGTGTCGTCGTTGTCGTCGTCGTCGTCGTCGTCCCCGCCAGTCCCAAGGAAATTGAGGAACAACCGAAATGAAGGTCGCAATCGAGTCGATTCCCTTCCAGCTTTTTTTCCCATCCCTGACGGGGGGGGAAGAGGAGGGGCACGCGGTGGGGTCCCGGGTCAGAATACCGCCCCCCCACACACGGGGGGTCCCAGCGAGTCCCCGGGGGGTCCCCAGCGGGCATCCCGGAGAAGGTCCAGCCTGCGGTGGGGGGTTGTCCCGGGTCAGAATACCGCCCCCCCCCGTCCCGGCGGGTCCCAGAGGGGTCCTCCTCCTCCTCCTCCTCCTCCTCCTCCTCCTCCTCCTCCTCCTCCTGGGGGGTGTCGCCAGCAGGGAGCCTGGGGGAGGTCCCACTTTCAGGGTCGGCTGCACCAGCCGCAAGACCGTCGCAGTCTGGACGATGCGCGAGCACCACGCGATATTACTTGGCACTGTTCTCACCTATCCCGTGGTGTTGGATCCTCATATTGAAGAGACAGCGCCCCGCGTCATCCTTCCTCATCCTCCCGCTGCCCCCTCTCCCTCCTCCTTGCCTCTGCCCTCCGCACGTGCAACGCTTCGTGGCCCCGTAGGGAGCTCCGCAGAAGGCCCCAGCCGCAGGCCCAACACGGCGGCGCCGCCTCCTTTTTGGCGCACCCCTCACGCGGTTCGCAGTCCCATAGGGAAGGCCCCAGTGGCAGGGTTCACACGGCGGCGCCGCCCCATTTTGGCGCACCCCTCACACGGTTCGTAGCCGCATAGGTGGTGGCAGGGTCCACATGGCGGCGCCGCCTCATTTTGGCGGCGCCGCCCCATTGTGGCGCCCCCCTCACACGGTTCGTAGCCCCATAGGAGGCTCCACCAAAGGCCCCAGTACCAGGTCCACATGGCGGCGCCACTCCATTTTGGCGCACCCCTCACACGGTCCGTAGCCCCATAGGGAGCTCCACCGAAGGCCCCGGTAGCAGGGTCCACATGGCCGCGCCGCCCCATTTGGGCGCTCCCCTCACACGGTCCGTAGCCCCATAGGAGGCTCCAACGGCCCCAGTAGCAGGGTCCACATGGCGGCGCCGTCCTGGCGCACCCCTCACACCTTTCGTGGCCCCATGGGGAACTCCACCGAAAGCGGTGCCCCGACACAGTGCTCACAGCTGCATATGGATGGGTCCTTCGTCGGGGTAACTGTTTAGACAGGGACGAGGGGGGGGCGGCAGATTGCCTGCTGCGCTCCGGCCCATCTCCCCTGCCAACAAACCATACAACATACAGGCTGCTGCAAGAGTCTGATCGTGCGCAGGCGCCCCGCGGTCACTTTGCATTGTCAGGTGACAGGACGATGGGGGGGGGGCCTGGCATGCCCGGCGCCCCTCGCAGGTGTCGCGGCACCTGGCTGGCGTCTGCATTGGTTCCCCACGACTGTCGATGGCGGCCCCTGCTCATGCTGAGACTCGGGTGTTACTTCTGTTCTCGGAGGGCGGGTGGGAGTGAGCGCGACGGCCGTCCTTCGGAGGGGGGGGTAGCCTGACCCCTCCCCCTGCCCCACACCTCCGAGTCTGGACGGGGCGTCTCGCTGGCAGTCAGAGCGTCCAAGATGGCCCACGATGTTTTCTAGAAGGAGCCCAACATGGCCTCTCCAAGATGGTCAAACTATCCCGAGATGGCTTCTGAAATGCTCCACGAGGTCCCGACACCGCCCCGAGATGAGTCCAAGTGGCCACCGAGCCTCTCGGGGAAGCCCACAACTATGCCAAATTCTGCTCGACAGCCTTAGGAAATCAGTGGTTGCTGCCTGTTCGCGTTTTCGCTGTCGGTTCGGCTGCCTCAAGGTAGCATCAAGAGGGCCCGAGGGAGCCCCGACGGGCCCCAGAGGACCTCAAGGCGGCCCCAAGAGCACCCGGGAGCGCCCCAGGAGCCCAAGAAGTCCCCAAGACACCACTCGTTGGGCTCCAGAAGGGGTATCGCTGAGAAGGACCCCATGTCAGCTGATCGGTGCCCTTCCAGACGGCCCATCGAGACCCCCCAGGGCCCCAAGAAGGCCCCAGCGGGTTACCAATATAACCAGGTAATCTGGCAGGAGGCTCAAACACACACATATATATATGTGTGTATGGAGAAAAATATGAGAAAAAACAACAAAACAAAAAAACGCAAAGACAGTTATGGCTGACTCCTGGGCCTGTTCAAGCAGATCCCGATCATCGGTTGTTGGCTACCCGCCCGTCTTTGTTCCATGTCGTGCTCCCGCACTTCCCTGACCCATGCAACTCGCCTGGACATCGTTGCTGGATGGGCTGGTGGTGATGCGCGAAGCGTCAAACGTCTGCGCCACTCGGATTGCAGCACCTAGCATGCGCCACAGAGCTTTCACGACACATATTGCACCACATAGCTTGCACAGCATGACCTGCCCCGCATAGCTTACACAGCGCAGATTGAACTACATCGGTTCCACCACGTAGGTTCTGCCACACAGCTTGCACCACAAAGCTTGCACCACAGAACTTAATCTAAACAGCTGGCAACACATAGCTGGCACCGTATAGCTCGCACCACATAGATGCTACCACATGGATTCCTCCACGTTGCTGGCACATGCACCACGCAGCTTGCAACATACGCGCGCACACACACACACACACATTTTACTACCTAACATGCACCACTTAGTTTGTACCACATAGATTGCACCACATAAACCGCGAAGCATAGCTTGCACCTGAAGCATGCACCACTTAAATTGTGCCACACACATATAGTGTAGATATACGTGTATGTATGGCTATGCCATGCCACGGCTCGTACAATGTAGATTATGCTCCACATAGCTTCGTGCACCACATGAACTGCACCACGCACAGTAGACACATACGATGATCGGCCTCGCTGTAAGATATCGTGGGGCGTTTTGCCTTCGAGCATTAAGCCTCCTCAAATGCCCAAAGGCTCCTGCGGGTCCCCAGGGCCACCGGGGATAAGAAACTTCCGTGAGGCACCTACTGGCAGGTTGGTCCTCCTCTGACGTGCCTGCTGTAGCTTACACCACATGGATTGCACCATTGCTCACACATCCAGGATGTACGAATTTACTGTTTGGGGACCACGCCTGCAAACATGATGTGCCTGACCCCTGTTTGTGGCCTCTGGAGGCCTCTAGATGCCAACCGAAAACTGACTGAGTAAACGCCCAGAAACGGTTCAGCACTCAACGCTCGCCCAAAGTGGCCTGCAACCTGCCTCAAAACTGGACCAACATAGTGGTTCGTGGACATTGGATGACTTCCTGTCCGACCTTAGGACCACTATTGGTCAATGGTTGGTCAGCTTTGCCAAATCACGCACGCAGGCTCGCTGGCCAGGGTCTGGCAGCCTCGACGGCGCCGACGGCAACAAGACGACGACGAACCGTATTGCCACTTCCCAGCGGGGCGCTGCGACCCCCCCCGGGGCATTTCTTACAGTCTGGCCCCATTACCACGACAGAGGACAGCGAAGCGAAGCGAGTCAAAACTTCACGCCGGCACCGATCCTGGAGAAGCCTCTCCTCGGCCCAGCATGCGCACAGACGCATCCCCAGGCTGCGCCTGGAGGGCCCCCACGCCGATGGCGGCCAGGAGCGGCGGCGGCGGCCCGTGGCCCCACAGCGGGCGCCCCCCGACAGGGAGGCGGCGGCGACCAGCGGCGGCGCCCGTCGCCACCGGCAGCCGGCGGCCCCCATCGCCAGCGGCACCCTGCGGCGGCTCGCGGCGGCGGCGGCCAGCGGCGGCGACGGCCAGCGGCGGCGGCAGCAGGCGGCGGCACCGAGCGCCAACGGCAGCCAGCGGCGGCGGCCAGCGGCCGCCATGACCAGCCGCGGCGGGCGGCGGCTCGCGGCGGCAGAGGCAGCGCGGCCACCGGCGGTGGCCGCCCCAGGGCCGGGCAGGGCTGGACCCAAACGCTGTGCTTCGCGTTGTCGTCGTCTTGCTGTCTGTCCTGCTCTGCCTGCTTTCCTGTACCTCCCTGCGAAAAGGGGGAAAAAAAACGCGGCCGAAGTCCAGCAGAGCAGCGTGCAGGTCCAGCCCTGGGAAGGGGAAAAGGCTCGGCGGCGGGGCGGCGGGCAGGGGGCGCGGGGGCGCGCTCTCGGCCGCCCGCCTCCGCGCGGGACACCTGGAAGGAGACGGAGGCGCACGTGAGCGCCCACTGCCACTTGCAGCGGCCGCCTCGGCGCGCGCGCGGCGCGGGCCGAGCGGGCGCCGGCGGGCGAGGGCCCCGGCCTTGAAGAACAGGCCGCCCCTTTTGTGCAGCTGGTGCACGGGCGTGCGTCTGGTCGTGAGGCCCGAGGAAGTCTCAAGCGGAGCCCGATTTGGGGAAAAGGAGCCGCCCGCCTCCATCCCCCTGCAGCAGAGGCGAGCTGTTACGACGAACGAAGGTGCGAGGCGCTAACCTAAGAGCCCGAGGTTGGAAAGGAGCTCCTTCTATGATCAGAGACCTGTTGCAAACTGTGCGGACGAGCGTGCGCGGCGCCGGAGCGAGATACCTCGCCTGAACAACATCCGCCCTCGATCCTTGAGGCACCTGCAGCTTGCGAGGCGGATGTGCGCGGCGCTTTTGGACGAGAGCCTCAATGGCAACGAACCGCCATCCATCCCTATGACTGCTGCAAGGGTTACAAGAGGTGTGCTCGGCGCGAACGCGAAGCCCCCGTATTTGAAAATTAGCCCCCCCCCCCAAAGCGTACAACTGTTGCAGAGTGGGACAGGGATCTCAAACGAAACGCCCGACCCGCTCAACCGACACGTCTTGGGGCGCGACAGGAAGGAGTTATCTATAGCGAAAAAATGGAGAGGGAGGAAGAGGACGAAGAGGAGGACAATGAGAAGAAGGAGGAGGGAGGAGGAGGGAAAGCAAGAAGGAGGAGAGAGGGAGGGAGGGACGGAGGGAGGAGGGAGCAGGAGGGACGGGTAGGGAGGAGCAGGGAAAGGAGGAGGAAGCAGGAGGGAGGAAGAGCCAGGCGAAATGATGGGAAATAATGGGAGGGGGGAAGAGGGGGAGAGGAGTGGCGCCGCTAGCGGTTGTCGGCTCTGGCGACTCTGCCTAATCACGCAGCGATATGAATATTACTCCGATCGCCACCCCCGAGTTCTTCGGACACGCGAGGAAGGAGAAACCGAACATGTCCTCGCTGTTACGAGGTGAACGGGAGAGCTCCCACCATGTGCGCATATAGGCAAACGGTTGGTTCCTAGGCATCACAAGTTACAGCAATTTCCACCAGATGTTTTGCATGCGCGGCTGGCTCCACAGCAGCGAAGGTGTCCACCGACACGACGTTGATGCGGTCCCTGGGCTACCTCAGGACACTCAGCCCGAGCCTGCGATTGCCTCTGGCGACGCCAGGGCGTATACCAGACTGGTGGTAAGTAGGCCCGGGCTCGGTAGATCTCGACCCTGCGCGGGCAACGTGCCTTTCGGTGTGCGCCCCTTCTCTGGCCGCCTGGCAGGACGCGGGCGGAGACAGTACTCTCCGCGCGCCGTGCGCGTGGTGGTTCAGAAGTGCTCTCCGCTGCGGGCGCCCCATGTTGAGAGCAGGTGCTCAGGACACTCCTCCGCGCAAGGAGGAGCAGGACGGAGGAGAGGGGGGAGGGGGGAGGGTAGGAGGACGGCGACGAGGAGGCCAAGGAAGGAGGCGCAGTGTCATGCATGCTGATACCAGAGGAGGGAGGAAGGAGGGTCATGGGGGAGGGAGGCGGAGGGCGAGGAATGGGGAAGGGGGGAGGAGGGGGCGGGGGGGGGGAGCGTCGGGGAAGGAGAGGGGCGAAGGATGAGAAAGAGGGGTAAGCAGCGACCCGCAGGCAGGGCGCCCAACCCGCGCGCCGACGAGGGAGACGCCCGCATTCGGAGCCCAAGCTTCCGGGGGGGCCGAGCCAAGGGAGCTGGGAAATCGCCCCGTGCTCCCAGCGCGGTGGCGAGCCTTCCGCCGTGCCCGCAGCAACGGGGGGAGAGAGGGTGCCAGGGAGGAGAGAGGGAGGTTGTGGGAATCTTGAATGCACGTCGCTCATTCCTAACATCGTGCGCATTTCTAGCTGTGCTCGTTTGTTATCGCTCCTGGCCCCCTACTGGCCAGGAAAAGGCCCAGGACAGAACAATTAGAAATGAAAGGATCTTGGCCCCCCAAAAAATCTAAGAACTTTCGAAAAATAAGAAATGAACAATGTTTACGTGTTTAACCAGGGGCTCCAGGTTACCCATCTGCCCATCTGCCTCGGGCGGTCTTCGGCGGTCTTGTGCGGTCTTCGGACGGTCTTCGGACGGTCTTCGGACGGTCTTCGGACGGTCTTCGGACAGTCTTCGGCGGCTTCCAGCGGCCTTTGGCGGTTTGCGGTGGTCTCTGGCGCGAAAGCTGGATGGTGGCGTTCAAAAAAAGGGTCCATGATCGAACGCCGGAGGCAACAACTCCGGGGAGGTCTTCGCGAGAACGACTGCGGGCTACTGCGCCCAACTCTAGGGCCGCTTCGCCAGATCCGGCTGGATGAAGCTGGGGAGTAAGCTACCAAATCAAGCGAGATTCTGCCAGATTGAGCCGGTTAGCGACCACGGATGCTCCAGCGCCGATTCTGAATGCAACATCAAGACGAAGCCAGGACTAGGAACATTCGGGTGAGGGCGAACCGACCATCTCAGAGATCCAGCGGCTCTGGAAGATGTCTCGGGCGCCGCGGCCTTCTCGGAGCGTTCCGGCACGCTCTGAGAGCGTTCCGGGACGCTCTGGAACGGGTTTATCCTCGTCCTAGCCTGAGGTCGGGCATGTCTTCCTACAGGTGGATCTTGGAAGAATATTGAAGAATAGTCAAAAAATACAAAATGGTAAAAAATGGTTTTAAAATCGTACCCATACTATTTTGCTGACTAGTTTGCAGACTATGTTTAACACTCCTCCTGTAAAAAGGCATGCCCGACTTCATCCCAGCCCCGTCCGAGGAGTTGCCTCCCTGGAAGAGGGACGTCGACAGCCCGGGTCGGTGCTGCTTGACCCGGGCCGGCCTCATAAGGTTAGGTCGGGCATGTCCCCCGACAGGCGGATTTGAACAAAAAACAACAAATACAAGCATGCTCAAACATAGCCAACAATTGCACCAGCGACAACAAAAAACAAGGTCCCAAGACTATGTGTTAACTATTCTTTAAGATTCCTCCTGTAGAAGGGATACGCCCGACTTGATCATCAGGCCATCTGTCGCGAAGCCGGGCCGGCCACGAAGGGAGCTCCTCAGCGGCATCGTCGGCGGCACGCGGCTCCCAAGGCCAGGCCAGGCACGGGGGCATTGCCCAGCGGGGAGTGCGGCGGACCCCCCCCCGTCGCCCATGTCCTCCTCCTCCTCCTCCTCCTCCTCCTCCTCCTTCTCCTCCTCTTTCTCCTCCTCCTCCTCCTCCGTGTTCTCCTCCTCATCCTCCTCATCCTCCCCCTCCTCCCCCCCGGGGGGTCTCACGCAGGAGCGGCCCTTGGCAAGAGGAGGAGAAGGGGGAGGAGAAGGAGGAGGAGGAGGAGGAGGAGGAGGAGGCGGAGGAGGGGAAGAGGAGGAGGAGGAGGAGGAGGAGGAGGAGGAGGAGGAGGAGGAGGGGAAGAGGAGGCGAAGAGGAGGGCAACAAGGGCCACTCCGACGAAGGGCCGCTCCTGCGCGTCGCCGACAGCTGTCCTCGCGGAGAGGGGAGGGTCGCGCACGCCCCGGCAGCCCCGGTCCGCCCCTCCTGCGGGGACCTGCAGGACCTCCTCGTGGGTGCTCCCCTTGCTGATGCAGATTTCCCTGGGCCGCCACGCCTGCCAGCGCGCCGCTTCTCTCCTCCTCCTCCTCCTCCTCCTCCTCCTCCTCCTCCTCCTCATCCTCATCATCCTCATCCTCATCCTCATCCTCATCCTCATCCTCTTCATTCCTCCCTCTCCTCCTCCTCCTTCTCGTTTCTCCTCCTCCTCCTCCTTCTCCTCCTCCTCCTCCCCATCCTTCTCATCCTCGTTCTCCTGCTCCTGTTCCTCCTCTTAAGATTGGTGTCATGATTGGTTATACCTTATCCGAATAATATGTTTAGCATTATTCCGACCGTTCCTCATCATCACCATTAGCACCACCATCAACACCATGGTCACCATCGTCAACAACATCCGCAGTCCTCCTCCTCCGTCTTATCATCATCATCAACAACACCAGCAGCAGCATCAGCATCAGCATCAACACAATCATCATAATCATCAGCAGTCGCATCATCATCAGCAGCAGCATCAGCATCATCATCAGCATCATCACCACCATCAATCAGCATCATAATCATTATCATCAGCACCATCACCATCATGAACAACATCATCAGCAGCGTCATCGTCAACAGCAGCATCAACATATTCAGCATCATCAGCATCATCAGCATCCTGATCATCAGCATCATGCTCATTGCCATCATCATCATCATCATCATAATCAGCATCACCAGCATCAGCATCCTCATCATCACCACCAGCATACTCATTATCATCGGCATCTCCACCACAACCACGATGAAAACCACCACCATCACGAGCGTCATCGTCACCAGCACCATCAATAGCATGATCACCACCATCACAATCACCATCAGCATCATCATCATCATCATCATCATCACAAACAACATCAGCATCCTCATCACCACTAACACCATCGCCATCACTAGCATCAGTACCAGCATCATCATCATCACCACCATCAGCATCAGCATCATCAGCAGCATGATCATCCGCATGAGCTTCAGATCAGCATCCGCATCATCAATGATAATCAGCACTATCACCATCATGATCATCGTCGGCATCATCATCGCCAAAGTCATCATGTTCATGACCATGTCCATCACCATCATCACCATCATCAGCATCAGCAACAGTATCAGCATCAGCATCAGTATCTTAAGTATTATCCTCAGCATCACCATCAGCAGCATCAGCATAAACATCAGCAGCAGCATCAGCAGCAGCATCATCATCATCACCATCATCATCGAATAATCCCTATTCTTCCTCCTCCTCCTCCTGGCTCTTACTCCTCCTTCTCCTCCTCCTCCTCCTCCTCCTCCTCCTCCTCTTCCTCCTACTAGTTCTCCGCCTCCGCCTTATCCTCACTGCCGCTGTTGCTTCTCCTCCTTCCCATGGGCGCCGACGCTGACAATGGCGACGACGACGGTGGCGCCAGCGGCGACGCCGGCGCTGGCCCCCAGACCAATGCTAGGGTGCGCTCGGACCAGATCTTCAAGGCGAATTCAGCCGTGGCCATGAGAAGGCCCAGAGGAGGTCTGGCCCGCGCGCGGGCGCCGACGTCGACGGCAGCAGCGAGGGAGAGCAAAACCCGTATCAGTGACCCGCCGCCGTCACTGCCGAAGAGCTGCGAGGCCTCGGGACAGGAACGGCGGTGAGCAGCATGCCGACGGGCTCCCGGCGGCGGCGTGCCGTGGATGCTCCCTCTCTCTCTCTCTCTTCCTCCCGAGATGCCGACGCCGGCGGCGGCGTTGCCGTGGGGGGTTGGGGGGGGGAGCGGGGGGGGGAGGCGGGCGGGGGGGGGGCCAAGGGCACGGGAGCGGAGAGGAGCACGGGGGGGGGGGGAGGAAGAGGAGGAGGGGAGGAGAGGAGGAGGAGGAGGAGGAGGAGGAGGAGGAGGAGGAGGGGAGGAGAGGAGGAGGAGGAGGAGGAGGAGGGAGGAGGAGGAGGAGGAGGAGGGGGGAGGAGGGAAGAGGAGGAGGAGGAGGAGGAGGAGGAAGAGAGGAGGAGGAGGAGGAGGCGATCGCATCGCCGATAGATTGGCGATAGGCCCCCGAGAGAGCGAGGCCGCCCGCTCCTGGGCGGGGAGGACTGTCGGGCCCCTCTCGACAGGGAAGGAACGACTGGAGGTCGATGCCTCCTCCTGGGCCGAGCAGCAGGCGCTGCAGGCGCTGGCGAAGCGCGCGGCCTCTCGATGCGAGGGAGGGAGGAATGAGGAGGCGGAGCGAGGAGGAGGAGGAGGAGGAGGAACGAGAGGAGGAGGAGGAGGAGAGGGGGAATGAAGAGGAGGATGATGAGGATGAGATGAGGATGAGGATGATGAGGATGAGGATGAGGATGAGGATGAGGATGAGGATGAGGATGAGGAGGAGACCAGCGTAAGAGATGAGGATGAGGAGGAGGAGGAGGAGGAGGAGGAGGAGGAGGAGGAGGAGGAGGGAGGAGGAGGAGGAATGATGAGGAGGAGAAGGCGGAGGAGGAGGAGGAGGAGGAGGAGGAGAGGAAGAGGAGGAGGAGGAGGAGGAGCGAGGAGGAGAGGAGGAGGAGGAGGAGGAGGAGGAGGAGGAGGAGGAGGAGGAGGAGAGGGAGGGAGGGAGGGAGGGAGGGAGGGAGGAGGAGGAGAAGGAGGAGGAGGAGAAGGAGGAGCCGCATCCCACATAAAGGAGGAGGAAGGACGAGAAGAAGGAGGGAGGAGGAGGAGAGGGCGGAGGAGCCGTATCCCACCCAAAGGGCGCGGGGCACCCGCAGCACGTCGTCCCAGCCGCCTGGAGGCATCCGCAACCTCCCCGGCAGCGGCGCGGTGGGGGCGTCGGACTGGCCGCCCAGCGACCGGGGCACGTTCTCCTGGGGCCGAAGGCGGCGATCGCCGCCGTCGGCGTCGACGTCGGCGCCGACGTCGGTGCTGTCGTCGCGGCGGCGCCGTCGTCGGCATTGGCGTCGGCCTTGTCGCGGGTAGCGTCGGCGAAACGCCGGCGCCGTCGTCGGCGTCGGCTTTCCTGGGAAGGATGACCAGCAGCAGCAAGGAGGAGGAGGACGAGGAGGCGGAGGCGACGACCTCGGCGCCGCCGCCGGGGCCAACGCCGAAGCCGTGGCCGTCGCCGTCTTCGAGTGTTCCCCAGTGTGCCCTCGAGGTGCAGAAGGCTCCAGCGTCCTCTGCGGAGCCCAGCTGCCCCAACGTCTGCAACCGGACAGCCCGACACGGCTCTCTCCAGGCCCCCCCCCTCCCGAGGAGGTCCCTGGAGGGGGCCGAGGCGCCCCCGCCCCGAGGCCCGACGTCGCGAACCGGTCCCCGCATTGCAAGACGATCGCGACAGGAGCTAGCTTTAAGTCGGGCCTGAACATTCCAGAAGAATCAAAAAATACTCTGGTGACGATTTGTGGACTACTTTTGACTGTTTGGGGGTACCTTCTGGCTATATCGAAAAGTTGCCGTACAATATCCGCCTGTCGGAGGACGTGCCCGACCGAAGGCTGGCGAGCCCCACCTCTGTCCGAGAGGGCCCCGCGGGCGCGCCGGGAGCAGGGAGCGAAGGGGAGCGCCCTCTCCGAGCGCTGGCTGCTCGGAGACGCCCAGGCCCGCGGGAGCTGGGGCCACCCCAGACAGCCCACGAGACTGGGCATCGCGGGTGAGCACGAGAGGTCCACAAAATCCACCCCCAGAATAACGACCCCGACACGCGAAGTCGTTTAGTAAACGTACCCAAAGAAGGAATCGGACAGGGCAGGGCTGTTTCGTAAACGCCCAGGGCCGTGTAGTAAACGCCGATTGTCCGGTCCGAGTGGTTTTTCCTCCCTTGAAGCACGGAGAACGACGGCGGCGGCAGCGACGGCGACGACAAAGACGAAGACGACAACGACGCCGGCGCCGCCGCCGACGGCGGCGGCGGTGAGGATAGCGGCGGCGACGATGACGAGGACGAGGACGAGGACGACGAGGGTTTCCGCGCCCAGGTCGTCGAGCATCTGGCGCAGCTCCTCCTTGCTCCCGACCATCATCGCCTTTTCCATGAGCGCAGCTGAGAGGAAATGCTTGAGGATGCTCCACGCCCTGTTCGCGAATCCTCTGGGCAGAAAACATCCGGACACACTCGCGGCGTGACAACAACACGAAGGACGGTGTTGGGCATGTTTGAGCAAATCCTTAAATCCTTTACCAGCCCCGACACAATGAAATCCCACCAGCCCTCTGGGCTTAGGTGGTATAAAGCGTTGTTTCTTCTCTCTTCCACTGAAACCCCTCTCCTTACCCCATCCCCTGGGCCAGGAAGGGGGGGTACCGAGGCGTTTGAGCGTCCAAGATGGCCAAAGAGGGCTTCGAAGTCGCAAGATGGCCTCCAAGATGGCCCATGCTACTTCAAGATGGGTCAAGATAGCCTCCGACATACCCCCAAGAGGCCCCAAGACAGCCCCAAGACGGATCCAAGTGCCCTTCGAGCCCTCCACGGCGCCCTCCAAGATGCCAAAACCGTTCAAAAACCTACGGGAAATCATTGTTTTTCCCCACCAACCTGTGTTGTTGGGTCCTCGTTTTGAAGAGACGGTCCCCGCGTTCCTCCTCTCCTTCTCTCCTCCTCTTCCCCCTCCTCCCTACCGTCCGCATGCGTCCCCCCCACCCAGTACAGCGTTTCGTGACCCCATAGGGAGCTCAACCGAAGGCCCCAGTGCCACCGTCAACATGCGTCCCCCCCACTCAGTACAGCGCTTCGTGGCCCCATGGGGAGCTCCACCAAAGGCCCCAGTGCCACCGTCCACATGCGTCCCCCCCACTCAGTACAGCGCTTCGTGGCCCCATAGGGAGCTCCACCGAAGGCCCCAGTGCCACCGTCCACATGCGTCCCCCCACTCAGTACAGCGCTTCGTGGCCCCATAGGGAGCTCCACCGAAGGCCCCAGTGCCACCGTCCACATGCGTCTCAGAACAGCGCTTCGTGCCGCCCCCCCCACCCCACCTCACTGTGAACAGCGCTTCGTGGCCCCATAGGGAGCTCAACTTCGTCCGAGAGAGCTCCACCGAAGGCCCCAGTGCCACCGTCCACATGCGTCCCCCCCACTCAGTACAGCGCTTCGTGGCCCCATAGGGAGCTCCACCGAAGGCCCCAGTGCCACCGTCCACATGCGTCCCCCCCACTCAGTACAGCGCTTCGTGGCCCCATAGGGAGCTCCACCGAAGGCCCCAGTGCCACCGTCCACATGCGTCCCCCCCACTCAGTACAGCGCTTCGTGGCCCCATAGGGAGCTCCACCGAAGGCCCCAGTGCCACCGTCCACATGCGTCCCCCCCACTCAGTACAGCGCTTCGTGGCCCCATAGGGAGCTCCACCGAAGGCCCCAGTGCCACCGTCCACATGCGTCCCCCCCACTCAGTACAGCGCTTCGTGGCCCCATAGGGAGCTCAACCAAAGGCCCCGTGCACCGTCCACAGCGCCCCCACTCAGTACAGCGTTCGTGGCCCCATAGGGAGCTTCACGAAGGCCCCACAGCCACCGTGCGTCCCCCCACCCAGTACAGCGCTTCGTGGCCCAGGGAGCTCCACCGAAGGCCCAGTGCCACCGTCCAATGCGTCCCCCCCCACTCAGTACAGCGTTTCGTGGCCCCATAGGAAGCCCCACCGAAAGTCACAGTGCTAACGTCCACATGCGCCCCCCCCACTCAGTACAGCGTTTCGTGGCCACATAGGGAGCTCCCCCGAAACCCCCAGTGGAACCGTCCGAGTGCGTCCTGAAACACCCAATTTTGCATTTTCACCCACCCGTTACAGCGTTTCGTGGACCCACAGGGAGCTCCACCGAAGGCCCCAGTGCCACCGTCCGCATGCGTCCCGCACACCCGATGTGGCATTTTCACCCACCCAGTGCAGCGTTGCGTGGCCTCACAGGGAGCTCCACCGAAGGCCCCAGTGGGACCGTCCGCAAGCGTCCCGAAACACCCAGTGTGGCATTTTCACCCACCCAGTCCAAAATTTCGTGGCCCCGTAGGGAACTCCACCGAAGGCCCCAGTGCCACCGTCCGCATGCGTCTCGAAAACCCAACGTAGCATTTTTACCCACCCAATACAGCGCTTCGTGGCCCCTTAGTGCGCTCCGCCGAAGCCCCCAGTGGGACCGTCCGCATGCGTCCCGGAAGCCCAATTTGGCATTTTCACCCACCCAGTACAGCGCTTCGTGACCCCATAGGGGGTTCCACCGAAGCCTCCAGTGGGACCGTCCGCATGCGTCCCGGAAGCCCAATTTGGCATTTTCACTTACCCAGTACAGGTGGCCCCATAGGGGGCTCCACAGAAGCCCCCAGTGGGACCGTCCGCATGCGTCCCGGAAACCTTACTTGACACACCACTCACCCAGAACAGCGTTCCCCCCCACCCAGTGCAGCGCTTCGTAGCCCCATAGGGAGTTTCACCGAAGAAGATTTTCACAATTGAGGTACCAACAACTGCATATGGTTGGGTCCTTCGCCAGGATACTTGGCATTATCAATTTTTCGCTTCCGATGGGCTTTGGAAGCCTCCAGATGGCCCCAAGGTGGCCCAAAAGAGGCCCAAGAAGGGCCCAAGAAGGCCGAAGACGGCCCCAAGATCGCCCAAGAGGCGCCCAAGAGCGCTCCAAGAGGGCCCCAAGATTCCGTTTGAGAGAACCTCTGAGGGGGGGCCCGAATCTCTCTTTTTGAGCCATGGTGCCCAAGACAAGAGGCCTCCCAGACCCCCCAAAGAGCCCCAAGAGGGCTCCAAGAGGGCCCCAAGAAGGCCTCAAGAGGACCCCAAGAGGGCCCCACGATGGCGCCAAAATGGCATTACGAGTCTTCGAATAACTTCTCACCACAACATATCCTCACAGCCTCTAGCCGAGCATGGCTCAAGATAGCCTCCAAAGAGGCCTCAAGAAAGCTTGCAATCAATTCTGGATGGGCTGGTGGGAATACGTTTTGTTGGTCGGCGGCTCCCTGGCGAAGGTCAGGAAGCGGGGCAACGAACGGGGCGCGAAACGAAGATAATTGCCCGCAGTGGCGAATGCACATGTACTGGTGGGAATACGCGAAGCGTCGAGAATTAGCCTGGCGAAAGACCCAACCATACGCAATTGTGAGTACCGCAATTGTGAATATCTTCTCCTGTGGCGCTCCCTCTGGGGCCACGAAACATTGTACTGGGTGAGTGAAACGCAGAGTGCAAGGGCCGTGTTGGGTGGTGGCGGACGCATGCGGGCGGTGCCACTGGGACCTTCTGTGGAGCTCCCTTGGGGCCACGAAGCGCTGTACTGGGTGGGTGAAGCGCAAGGAGCAAGGGCTGTGCTGGGTGGTGGCGGACGAATGCGGGCGGTTCCACTGGGACCTTCCGTGGAGCCCGCATATGGGGCCACGAAACGCTGTACTGGGTGGGTGAATCGCAGGGAGCAAGGGCTCTGCTGGGTGGTGGCGGACGCATGCGGGCGGTGCCACTGGGACCTTAGGTGGAGCTCCCTATGGGGCCACGAAGCGCTGTACTGGGTGGGTGAAACGCAGGGAGCAAGGGCCGTCCTTGGTGGTGGCGGACGCATGCGGGCGGTCCCACTGCTACCTTCGGTGGAGCTCCGTATGGGGCCACGAAACGCTGTACTGGGTGGGCGGAACGCAGGGAGCAAGAGCTCTTCTGGGTGGTGGCGGACGCATGCGGGCGGTGCCACTGGGACCTCCGGTGGAGCCCCGCATGGGGCCACTAAGCGCTGTACTGGGTGGGCGAAACGCGGGGAGCAAGGGCTGCGCTGGGTGGTGGCGGACGCATGCGGGCGGTGCCACTGGGACCTTCGGTGGAGCCCCCTATGGGGCCACGAAGCGTTGTACTGGGTGGGTGAAACGCAGGGAGCAAGGGCTGTGCTGGGTGGTGGCGGACGCATGCGGGCGTCCCACTGGGGGGCTGCGGTGGAGCTCCCTATGGGGCCACGAAACGCCGTACTGGGTGGGTGAAACGCATGGAAGGAGGAGGAGGGAGGGGAGGAGGGGGAGGAGGGGGAGGAGGAGGAGGAGAGGAGAAGAGGAACGCGGGGACAGCCTCGTCAGAACGAGGACCCAACACCACAGGATGAATGGGAAAAACGACTCGGGATACAATAGAACTCCCCAGGGAACGGATATACACCTCTGGGAGGGCGCGGTGCGAAACCAACACGACATTAGAGGACTGGGATACACAAGGAGCGGATTTACATCAGAAGGATTAGTCCGCGACGCTGCGCAGCGCCGCAATCACGCAGTCATCATATTGTCATCAGAAACCTTGAGAGGGAACGAAGCCCTCGTTGGGCCCCAGTTGCGAGTAGATGCGCTAGGAGCGTCCAAAGAAAACCCAACGAGAGGCAACATAAACCATGAACCCAGAGGCTTTTGGATGCAGCGCTCAGGCGAGGCGGGCCTTAGAGCGTGCAGAAGGTTCAGACGCTGCTCTTGTTTAGGAACCAGGAAGAGGAAACGTGACAACTGACCCCCGAGAAAAACCCGGGTGGTGCCGATGTAAGAGTGGCCGGATGCACCGAACTTTGAAGAACGATTGCGTACCTGCGACACATGTGAAGAAGCACCAGACCAGCATCACACATACACTATCAAGACAGCTCAATAAGCGCAAAGCCACACTGCCAATCGTGCTTCATACGTCGGACTCGCAGCCCACTGAACCAGCAAACTGAAAGCATCGAGAAGTAACAAAAGGAGACACCGATGTTTCCGCTCAGACACCAGGCTGATAACAACTGCGAAACCGAACGTTTCGTTTGCAGCAGTGCAACCTTTGGCCGGCCACACGCTGGTTGCGCAAGCCCTAGCCCCTAGACTTGACTTCGCTGTTGTTGACAAGCTAACGTGAACCTCTGTCTCGGCAGCGGGATACTTTGTACCACGCTAGTAGCTTGAGAATTCTAGCTAAAGGCAGCGCGCACTCGGGTCGCGTGGCTTCAATCGGCAAGCATAGGAAGCCCTCCGATCCGAATTGCGAAAGAGTGACTCTTCCTGGCAAGGCTTCACTAAATTGTGGAAACGGCCGACGCTGTCAAGGAGGCGGCGACGCGATGACCAGGTCTTCGGCGTACCCTTCCGCCT